CATTGTTTATGAGTTTGTAGCTAATGGTCCCTTAGATAAATGGCTACATCACATACCTAGGGGAGGTCGCAGCTTAGATTGGGTTATGAGAATGAAAATTGCAACGACGCTCGCCCAAGGAATTGCGTATGTTTAAAATATACTTTTTCTTTGCTAACTTAACACATTTTATCTAGATTTTTTTTGCCCTCCTTGTCCATGTGCATATTTCACTCAAATTAATGAAACATTTCTTATTGCTATAAATGTGGGCAGTTCGGTCATTCTCTGTGGTATTTGTATGCATTCTTTGCAATTTAGACTGCATTGCAATTTTTAAGATTGCAATTTCACAAGGGAACATTTAAATTAATACTCGATTTGTGTTTGGTGCATGGATAAATTGGAGTGAAATGCTTTGTTTTCTTCCAGTCTGTTCACTTTGTTATTCCACCCTTTTCATTGGAACCAGAGTGTTCCATTTTCAACTGTTTTTTTTCAATTCTTTCTTTAAAATATAGCAATAATAGAAAAGGACTCGAGATATGTTTTGTACCATTCTAGCATGTCTAAATGTCACTGGTCTCACTGATTATTAAGTAGAATAAAAAACTATCATGTTTTGGATTGCCCTGTTTCTGAATGCTCCACCCATCCTGTTCTTCAGATGATTTGTTTCCCTATATAACTCAAGCTCAATAAACTTATGGAGTTGTTTGTTTTCCTTTCTGTATGTTTTACCTTCATTATGTAAACTCTTGTGTGCCTTTATTGGAGGATAATGAAGAAATCCGATGGCATTTTTAGTGTCTAAATATGCAATATTAGTTAGCTAAGTGAAATTATGTAAAGGTTAAGTACGAGAAAGCTATCATCTATCTATCCAAGAAGAAAGAGCGGTGGGAAGGGGATGAAGAAGTGAGGAGGAAATAAATTGAAACCTATACCATTTGCATGTTTGTTGAGTTTCTCTTAACGGTGATTATATTTCCATTCACTCAAACAAAACTATTTCCCTTAAGGTTGTTACAAACTGGTGTGGCCAACCAAAAGTAAATAAATAAATTAAATACTCCATAATCTGCAGTATTTAAAACTTAAATGGATACATTAATTAATGTGTACTTAATCTCCCATTTCAACAGGTTTCTACATGACAAGGTTAAGCCACAAGTGGTGCATCGAGATATACGTGCTAGTAATGTACTACTGGATGAGGAGTTTGGAGCACGCCTGATGGGTGTGGGTCTGTCCAAGTTTGTGCCGTACGAAGTAATGCATGAGAGGACTGTCATGGCAGGTGGAACTTATGGATATCTTGCTCCAGAGTTTGTGTATAGAAACGAGCTTACAACAAAGAGTGACGTATATAGTTTTGGTGTTCTACTACTTGAAATAGTAAGTGGACGTAGACCTGCACAGGCAGTTGATTCTGTGGGTTGGCAAAGTATATTTGAATGGGCAACACCTCTTGTGCAAGTGCATCGCTATCATGAACTCTTGGATCCTCATATAACTTCATCCTCTTCTAGCATCATCCCAGAGGCTAGTACCATCCAAAAGGTGGTTGACCTTGTTTATTCTTGCACGCAGCATGTTCCTTCTATGCGCCCTAGAATGTCTCATGTTGTTCACCAGCTGCAACAGATTGCCCAACCACCTGCAAAGTAAAGCTAATCTAGTAGTAGCAGTAGTCTTGACATCAGATTTCTGTATCTATAACTTCAGGGTGGAGGCAGTTTTTTCTTACACATATAACAGATATTTATTTCTTTAACTTTCCCTTCTTTAGGGTCCAAATTAACTTTTGTTAAGTCAAGTGGGAGCTAGAGTTAGTCCAGGAATATTGTACTACTGATGGAATTGTACCCTTTTTGTCATTCTTAGCAAAACAATTTAAAAATGGGATAGCAAAAGGTAGACACAGAAGTGTGTGAAGGCAACATCTGTTCTTAGGTTGCGTGTAGGCAAATAGTTTAATTATTCAATAATTATTTTCCACAAGTGTTTATCATAAATTTAATTATAAAACTGATTAAAATAAGTTGAACTTGAATTTGTTGAAACAAATAAAAAAAGTATTTGAATTTTACTTAGACTGAATAAGTTCTATTGAAGTTCTTTGAACTTTAGTGATTCTCTATATGGAATGAAATAATCCTTATTGACTGAAATGAGATTAAGAAATGCAAACTCAGTTGTGAAACTCTGATACCATGAAAGAAATCCTGTGTATCCCATTCTTCATTCATTTGTGAAAAATGAGTACATGAGGGAAATTAGGGCTCTAATTAAATCTATACATAATAACATGATTGTGATTAGGGTATAATTAAGGTATCTGTTACATTATCATTTATTTTCATTATAATAGTAAAAAATTATGCATATATTCTTTTCATAGTTTAATAATAAGTGTGCAAAAGAGTAACCAATTCTTGATCAAGATGTTTAAGTAACGTTAAGGTTGTGTTTTTTTAAGTTACAAAATTAATTATTTGAACAACAAAACATTGTTTGATGTCAACAATATTATGCAAGTGTTTGAATAGATGTAATTGAGGACACTAAGGAGACCCTCCATAAAAAATGATGAATAGACCTTGTTAATAAAATTTCAATGTTTCGATTACTTACCTAGTCATATATGGATGCAGCATAGTCAATCAAACAAAATCTAAAATCAAATCAATCCAAAAATAGACAACAACTAAATCGTGACCTCTAATGACAATTTTTAGCTATCTTATCTACTTTTTAGTCTGCATTGTCAGACCATTACCAACATGTACACGAAATGTTGAATCACTCTTATATTTTGTTTCTAAGAAAAAGTTGGTTTTGTGAAAACTATAAAAGAAATAATAGGTCATTACATGATCATATTTTCAATAATTCTTTCTTACACAACATACTACGTAACAAATATTAAGAATTAAGAGTTATAAAATGTTACCCCATTCTATGACAGATATCTTTATATATATATATATATATATATATATATATATATATATATATATATATATATATATATATAATCATTCCTTGATTTATTCCATTCGGCCAATACTAAACCATTCAATGACATTTTGATAAGACTAACGTGATTTCAGATAAAAAAAAAATGGTTGATTTACCTTTTTTTCCACATTAAAAAAAAAAACCCTGCAATGTAAATAATTTGAAATCCAAGAGTCCACGTATAACCCAATTCATCGATAATCATTTGAAGCAACTGTAACAGTTTAATGTTCTTCATTTGTTTTTTCACCGCATGATTTAATTTGGGTTAAAGTAGAATATTTCATACAAAATAATCAAACTATTAATGGTTATAAAACTCGAGTCAATAACTCAAACAAGTTAATGATTAATGTGACCAATGACGAGTTAACTCGTGAATAGACTTAAAGTCAAACTTGGTGAATTCAGTCAACTCTGAATAAACTTGTGAGTGAGAGGTGAATCATCAAGTTTGAAAGAGAAAAGATACTTAAATCTTTTTCTGTATTCCTCTTCCTTCTTCACTATTCATTGCTGGTATCGGTAATTACATTATAGTAGTCATCGTTTCCTCTTGTTACGTGATAATTGTATCGCGCATCTCAACCGATGGTCGCATGTCTCACCCTGAACCACAACTCTTTGACCACCCTTATTGCTAACCCTCTCTCAGGTTAGTCATCAACCACCCCTCTTGCAAGTTAGATTAAGGAATGGAGAGATTTAAAATTTTAAGATTTTCAAATAGATTTAGGAATTTAGAAAAAAAATTTATTTTTTTTAATTTTGATTATTTTGCTAGACAAAATCAATTGATTTTTTTTTGTTATTTTAGATATAAATATTGAAATTAAAAATGTCTAAAACTTATTTTTTGTTATTTTATTAATATATTACTATATGAACTTATTTATTTCAATAATATGAAATTAATATTATTATATTTTTTATTAAATTAATGTTTTATTAAATTGATATTTTTCATATGAAATAGACTCTTATTTATAAATCAACCTTAAAAAAAATCTTGGTAGACTCTTGAGTTTAATAATCTTGCAACTATCTACTCAATTAATAGAGGGAGAGTTGTGTGTCATTTTAACAAATATAGACATAAACATGAAAGTAAATATAAAATTTACTTCAAATTACATTATTGTAATGTGATTCTAGAAAGTCAAAATCAATTCTAAATCTAAAATTATTTTATTTTCAACGTGAAACTAAACATATGAAAATTTAACTAAAATCAAATTACTTAATATATAACAAGATTCTAAACAAAGGATACAACTAGTAGAGTACAGAAAGGCTTCTCACCCTGCATTACATGAAAAGAAAAAAACGGAAAAAAGGGATTACATCCGAAATCATCAACCATACACATACATAAAAAAATTGAAACGTATTCATTCATATAGATACGTTCAAGATGTACAATTTTTTTTGTGCAAGGACAGAAATACGTAGCTACATGCTGCAGGTGGTGTCAACGTACACTTCTGGGGGCTGTTAACACAGTAGCACCAATATTTGTTGAAACTGAACTGCCCAGGAAGATATTGGTTGTTGTTTACAATATCCCCGCACCTGCATTCAATCCAATCCAAAATTGGCATAGAAAACCCAGACAAAGTCAGCATAACAAAGAACCACCAAATTCCATGCTGGTATTTGGAAAAAAATAAATTCCATCATTTCTAGCTTGAAAACTGATTTTGATTCAAATCTTTGTATCAAGTTTCCTCTGGCTATGAGTCTCTTTAATTTTGCTGTCAAATGAAAGTAGCCTTGAATGTAAAGCCGAATGTTCACATGCAAATACCAAGAAGATTTGTAATGATGGTGTCAACATAGATACTCGAATATAATACATAAACTAAAGCATAATTGGCCCTGAATAATCCAATACAGTATTTACGAGAAGGACATACAGCAATGCTTACTGAATAAAAAAATAAAGCAATCCTTAAAAAATAGAAAGTAATTTTGCTTTTACATCAAATTTACTAACCTCAATCTATGGATTCTGCTGTTTGAGATTGTTGCTCTTCAAATAAAGATTGTATTCTCTGCAATAAACAACATACCCTGGTGCTTAGCAAAATGAAAAAAAAAAATCAACTTCAACTAAGAAATATGCAACTAAATCCTTTTCCTTTCCGCGTCTTTTTATTCAATTTCAGGGCAATTATTAAACTTCCTGTTTATTCTCGTCCTTAACACCATTAAGTAAATAACAATACAATATCTCAATTTCATTTTCTACCTTAACAGAGCTTCCAACTTCCTCTAGTTTCCGCATTAGTAGCAGCTCTCCAGAAGGATTAGAATCAGGTTTAAATGACTTTGATGGAGACATCTGAAAGTTACAGAAAACAATGACAGGTGAGAGAGATAGAGACAATAAGCAACATGAACAATGAATGCTAAGCGATATAAAAGTTTACTGGGTTAATGAATGAACACTATCTGTCTGTCGCCACTCCCCCAGAAGCAAATAAGACAAAAAAAAGACAAAAATTTAAAAAAGATTTATTCCCAATATGCATGGTGATGACTTACCATCAGATGTTGTGGAACATCTTCTAACGTAGAAACCTGTCTTGTCATAATCTCATTTCTCATGTTTGATAGACGCATCATAACCGCCTGAAAAGAATGGAAGCATTGCAAAGAGCAGTTCCACTTAATCCATGTCAACAACTTTATGTGGATAAGGGAACCACAATAAATTTCTTACTAAAAACGGTTTTAGTTTTTGTTAAAGAAGGATACCTTCCTGAAAGCATTTGGGTTCGCAACCCCCTGGATTTTAACATCATCACTGGGTGGCCTTCTAACTCCAATATTTTCAATTCTAAGAGAGTAGACACCAAAAAGTGATTGGAAGTATCCTATGAGTAGAAAAAACCAATCAGGAACTAGAAATTGAAACCACATGACCATAAAACAATTGCTAGAACTTTGAAAGCTTAATAAGAAAAAACAAGAATTAAAACCAATCACAATCACAACAGATAGTGTCAACTGAATGGAAGAATAAATAACAATTAATGTATAAACAAATAGTAATCCTATCAGACTTATTGACAATGTATTATTTTATAATTCTTTTTATACAATGTCATTGAATCTCGCCGGATAAAGTTTCCCCTCTCAACCATGTTTTTTTTTCCTTTCCCAAGACTCAAAAGAAGATCTAGCCCAGAATTATAATGCCCATGCCTTACACTAATCAAAGTGTTCCACAAGGGTTGTCTCAAACTCTTAGGAGAAGATTGGGTTAAATAAGAATCATAAATCTAAACTATTAAGTCATACTTAAATAAGATGGAAACTAATATAAAACAATATATTTTAATTTAATATAATTTTTTATCATTCCATTTCATCCCATCCCCTTTTCAAATTAAAGCACAATACGTAAAAGAAACTGAAAAAACTGTACCTTGTTCAACCACAACATCTGCCACAGAGTGCAACAAAACGTGCTTCTCCTTCTTCAGCACTCCAAAACACGGAAATGGCACCGGTCTCGTAACCTGAGCTACACAACCACAAAAACACACATTCACGGAATATTAATTTCTCAAACATATTAAGAGAGCAAATGAAAATTAAAATTCGGAAATTATTGAGAGAGAGAGTGCCTTGTAAACAATGGTATTTGGAGTGAGATAGAGGGTTCTAGAACGAATATCCTTCCTCAGTATGAACCTTCTCACTGGGAGATAAAGCAACATGAGGAATCCAATGCCCCACGCCAGAATCAGTAACACCGAGTAAAGCACCCACTGCACCGTTTGGTACTTCACGAAATTCTGTTCCATCTCCCGAAACGACGCCGCATACAGCACCGCCTCCGCGTCGCTCTCGTTCTCCTCCAACAAACTCTTCTCCAACCTCTCTATTTCCACCACCTCCTCCATCGTTCCCATGTTCACCCCCACCAACCAGCCCATTCAGCCCGTGCCATATATAATGTTTCCCACTAATGGGCCTTACTGGGACTCGGCCCAAAACAATCGACCCAAAATAATAAAACCCCGTAAACCCTTCCGCTTGGAATGGAACAAGAGAAAAAAAAATAATGGGGGCGAAGAAGCTTAACCAGGGAGTGAAAAACGAGGGTAATGGCAACAACGATAATGTTTTTGCTTCATGCTCCTTCTCCAGCCTTGGCCTTGATTCCAATTTGTGTGAACAACTTCATGGTATTATTTTTTATTATTTATTTTTGGTTGGTTTTATTGAGAGTGAAATTTTTATTTTTAATTTTTTATTGTTTACAGAGAGGTTGGGGTTTGAAGTTCCGACGCTGGTGCAAGCTCAAGCGATTCCTGTTATTCTCTCTGGGCGTCATGCGTATCCTTTTTTTATTTATTGATGTTTCTTTGTTGAGATTTAAAAAAAAAAAAACACAATTGGGTTCTTTAATGAGGAATTTTAGATTGGTGAATGCCGCTACGGGTACGGGGAAGACTGCTGCGTATCTCGCTCCGATTGTTCATCACTTGCAGGGTTATGAAAATCGGATTCAGCGCTCTGATGGAACATTTGGTGCGTTTTGTTTTTGTTTTGAATGATATTTAGTTCCTTTGTGTAATTAGTTTCTTTTTTGGCAAAATGCCCTGTTGAGTAAGTTTTCATCAGTTTTATTAGTTGAGGATGGTGATTTTTGTTTCCTACTTCCCTTCATCTTGAAGTAGTGATGACTAATGAGATAATGAAGTAATGCTTTTAATAAAATGAATGTTGTTGTTAATTTTGATATTTGCTTCGTTATTTAGCGGGTTAATTTGGATTTGTTTTCGAAGCCATTGAACTCACGTGAATTTTATAGAGGAGAGGGAAGGTGAGAGTGAAAGTCGGAACATCATTGACCAACTCTCCCAAAAGGGAAAATCATAAGCAGCTAAGTATGCTGGAGTCCTTTAACCTTGAAGCATTGACAAAACAGCAATAAAATCCTTATTTTATTGGCTGGTGTTAGCTATATAGATTCTATGGTATCTGGGCTCAATAAAGACTAAATTACCGAGAATATTATTCATGATGAGGTTGCTGTTAACAATTTCTTCCAGTGTCTTTCATGGTCTCCCTCTACCCCCTTTTTACTGGGCTAAAAACTATCCTCCCCCAACCTTTCCTTGAATTTAACATTTTATTTCATTAGAATAAGAATGGAATGGATTGAACTCTTGATTATATGTCAAGTAACAACCATATGCAGGCATAAGCTGTTAAGTGAAGACATTTTCTATAATGTTGAAAATAATGCATCATCAAAACGTATATCAAACTTTGTTCATGAAGTATTGTTTAACATATCAATTTCACTGTTTTATATTGTCAAAACATACTATTTTGCTTCTTCTTATGGCAAGTTAATCTCATATTAATTATAAATTTAATTGATTCTTGGCAATAGCGTTGGTTCTTGTACCGACGCGGGAACTATGTTTGCAGGTTTATGAAATTCTTCAGAAGTTATTGCATCGATTTCATTGGATTGTTCCAGGATACATTATGGGTGGAGAAAATAGATCGAAGGAGAAAGCTAGGCTGCGCAAAGGTAGAAATTGTGTCATCATCATCTGTATTCATCATATATACCCTTTTTTCAAACACTGTCATTTATGTTTGTTTTCTAGTTGTTCAACAATAAAATCTTGAAAATAGTGGGGGTGAAATTGTTATGGAAGAAAGTAGAAGATATTTATAGTATTTTTTTTTTAAAAAGAAAAAAATGTCTATCAGAGAAATGCTATGTCATGATTACAAAGTTCTTTGGGGCTGTGCTTTCTCGTATCTGACACTTGAAGCAGGAGTTTTATACTTGATCATATTTAGAACGTGTGTTTCCTTTTTAGGCATATCTATTCTTATAGCAACCCCTGGGCGTCTTTTAGATCACTTGAAGAACACGACATCATTCTTGTACTCAAATCTGCGCTGGATAATTTTTGATGAAGCTGATCGGTATGGTTTTCATCTATTGCATTGCTGTCATACAAATCACCATATTTTGCATCTGCATTGTAAATATGTTACTTATTTCTTGATGCATTGTTTTCATTGCTATATAGTATCTCATGAATGAATTAACATATCATATGTTTTTAACAGGATTTTGGAATTAGGATTTGGAAAAGATATAGAGGAAATACTAGATCTTTTAGGTTCAAGGAAAACAGGGCACGATAACCAAGAGAATACAGTTCCAAGAAACTCTAAAATTCAAAGACAGAATTTGCTTTTATCTGCCACCTTAAATGAGAAGGTGAACCACCTTGCTAAAATTAGTCTAGACAATCCAGTGATGGTTGGTATTGATGGTAAGAAAATAGAACAAATTTCAACAAATGTAAGCAACGACCATTCAGAATCTGATGAAGATAATGAAGAAAATGATCCCAGTAAAATGCCAACAGTTGGAGATTACAAAGTCCCCATACAGTTGATTCAGAGATACATGAAAGGTATGTTGTTATAAATTAGAAATTTCTTCTGTGATCTTTTTAGTTCAAATACTATTTTAAGATCCTTAATTTCTAACTGGATTACTATGCAGTGCCTTGCGGTTCGCGGCTACCTGTTCTTCTTTCAATTCTAAAGCATCTCTTTGAAAGGGAACCTTCACAAAAGGTAAAGCTTCACTTTAATCTCTGCCTCCCTTTCTTGCCTATATTCCTTGAATCTATTTCTTAGGTGGTTCTCAATTTAGTATATTTTGCACTCTACACATTCCTCTTTTATTGTTTTCCATGGTTAATAATTCTTGACCAATGAATAGTCTGGTATTTTGGGTGTAATATTTATTATAAGAAAAATGCAGATAAAGAGTCAGGACAAAAATGTCTCAAGGATATGGCAATATATCAATAAGAAATTTTACTTGTAGAAAAACAAGATCCATATTATTTGGGCTAAGGGACTAGAACTTATATTTAGTATGAATGAATCTGCATCTATCGTTCCACTTCCTTATGCAAGTTGTTACAAATTCAATATCTTATGCTTAGTAAGTGACATCATTCATCTAATGATTCCACAGGTTGTTGTATTCTTTTCAACATGCGATGCAGTAGATTTTCACTATTCACTATTAAGCGAGTTTCAATTTTCATCCTATTCACAAACAGAAGATATCCGACAGAAGTTTCTTGGATGCAAAACATTCCGGTTACATGGTAATATGGTACAGGAGGACCGGAGAACCAGTTTTCAGACCTTCAAAAATGAGAAAGCTGCTTTGCTTTTGACTAGTGATGTTTCTGCCAGAGGCCTGGATTTTCCAAAGGTTAGATGTATAATACAGTACGATTCTCCTGGGGAGGCCACGGAATATGTTCATAGGTATCTGCCTATTTTCATGTGACTCATTTTTGTTTGATTTATTTGGGGATGGGGGATGAATGATGAGATGTTTTTTTAATTAATGATCTCTTTTCCTTGTTCATATTGTGTTCTAGATTAACATGGTGCTATAAAGCTCCAAGAAGTTGCCATATAACTAATAATTTTTCTTTGTGATTGAAATGTTATCTTATTTCTGATTGATCATGAATTCACAATGCAGGGTTGGTAGAACTGCTCGACTGGGTGAAAAAGGAGAGTCATTATTATTTCTGCAACCGGTTGAGATGGACTATTTACAGGACTTGGAAAAACATGGTGTCTCGCTGACAGAGTATCCTGCCCTCAAAGTGTTGGATAGTTTTCCACTGTATGGACAAAAGAGCTACACAAAAAAGTCAGTGTTCTTAGAGTCACATCCCTGGGTCCTTTGTCTCCAGAAGGCACTTGAAGCCTTCATCTTGTCAAAGGTGATTCTCTTCGCTGATCTTATTGAATTCTACACCTTGCTGCATGTCTTTATTTTATCTAGTTTTAACTTTGGAGTCCTCAACTTGAAAAACATGGAATCAAAGTTTAACTATAGAATCATTACGTTGGATTCTTTGAGTTTGTAACATTTAGAAAATAAAACATCATGATGGTTTTGTGCATCTGCATCTACTAAGCCATCTTACAAACCACTGACAATCTATAAGATGACGAAAACATATCGTAGGCATTTTGGTCATACTATAAGTAGACCAATAAAGACTCCTGCAATTAAAAGGGTGAGGAGATATAATAAAACTATAGGGCCAACAATCAATATTTTAAGTTTTATTGCATGCTACTTGCGGCATATCTCCTGGTTTTGTTTGGTTTTTCTGCATAGTGAATGGTTAGTTTACCGTTGATCCTTGGAAAACAAGGGCGTTGTAGCTCAAGTTGTATTCGTCCAGGTTAGACTGGGGAGTGGTAATGATGTTGGAGATTTGCGATAATCCTTGTACTTCAGTATCAGTCAAGCATGCACTAAATCAAAGATGTATAGGACATTCTGCACGTGAATATTTATCCGCCTCTCGTCTTTACTTTTGGTAGCCGTTATATTCCTATAGATTTAGCCAAAAACTCAATATTCTTCAACGGGATTCTTTGATACTTGTCTATTCACAAACCAATTTTTGCCCTGTCCTTTTCAGCCCGAGATGGATGAACTTGCCAAGAAGGCATTTTGCTCTTGGGTTCGGGCATACACAGCCCATCGTGGTGAGTTGAAAAGAATATTTATGATCAAGAAACTTCACTTGGGGCACGTAGCAAAAAGCTTTGCATTGAAACAACAACCCTCCTTAGTTGGACAGTCATTCCAAAAGCAAGCACAGAAAAGAAAGAGATTGGAGAAGAAAACTGGGTTGTCCAAAAAGAGAAAAGTTGCGAGTGTGACAGCACGCAGATCATGAAAGTGGCTGAAATATAAGTTTTAACAAAACAAAGGATGACTACGGATGGATCCAAAGGAGACTGCAATCCTGATCAAAACCATGGGGTTACCAAGAGACCTGAGGTGAGACAGCGGCAAGGTCTATGGTTCTGTTCCCAAATTCCTAACCTTCACTTT